GAGCCAGACCCTGCTGCACCTGAAGATGGGCCGCATCGTGGCGCAGCAGGAGAAGTTGATCCAGGCGGTGATGGAGTTGCAACAGCGGCCGGGCCCGACTACGAGTTTCCCCCCTTGGCGGTCGCCGGTCGCGGCGGAGGCGGCGGCACCATCAAAGGGTGCTCTCAAGAAGCGGCGGTGGCGCCGCTACAGGGCCATGGAGAAGGAGGTGCAGGAGCAGGAGCAGGAGCAACAGAGAGCGGGTTCACCACCACCGTGGAGGACAAGAGCTCAGAGGAGGCCTAGTTCCCCAGCTTGGTCCGTTCACGGGGCCTACGCTTTCGAGTCCGCCCGTGAGCCCCCGACCGTGGAGACCTACGCCCTGCGCGAGCAGGAGGTCGCTACTGACGAGGAGGCTGGGCCACCTCCCAGCCCTGGCAATGGCAGTAAGGCTGCGCACGACATGAGCAAGCGCTTGCGCAAGAAGGAGCGCAAGCTTGTGGTGCAGCTTCGGGACCTGCGCCCCCCAGGGTGGCACCGCAAGCAGGATTCAGTGCTCGTCGAGCCCGATGCTGAGAAGCAGAAGCTTGGCCTGTGCTGGATCCAGGAGCAGATCCAGGCCGCGCTGGCTGCCCAGTATGAGCGCCTCGCGGAGGCAGACGAGGAGGCGTTGCTCGGGGCCCGAGCGGCCGCCCTTTTCGAGGCGCAGCGTTGCGGTTGCAGCGCGCAGCGCCTCCCCAACCCCTGGCGCGCGCCAGCTGTGCTCCAGGCAGGCTGCAGCGCGCTGGCGGCAGTTGCCGCGTGGGGCCCTGTGCGCGGACGGCCGTGCCGGCAGGGCTCGCATGTCTCCTCTCTCTCTCTCTCTTTCCCTCTCTCTCTCTCTCTCTGAACTCCAATTGCTTCACACATGCGTCGTATAAAAATGCCCCCACCGTGGCGGGCGCCAGAGGAGCTGCGCGCTGGACGCGCGGATCGGCCCGCAGGGCGGCCGCCATTGCCTCGCCGAGGGCTGTGGACTTGCAGCCCATGTGCGTCATGTCCGCGAGGCTCCGGAGGGCAGGCTGCGCTGCTCGGCCTGAGTCTGCGCGCCGCTTGCGCCCTGCGTTCTGCAGCCGCGCGCCGAGGGCGCCCCGCCGCGCGCCGCGGAGGGCCCATTGCCCGGCAGGTGGCGGCCGGGGAAAAGGCGCGAGAGGGCAGAGGAGGGGGCGGGCAGCGGCAGGGGGAGCGCCTGGCGCGAGCTCGCAGCACGCAGCGGGGTGCCCTCTGAGCCGGCGCCCAGGAGGCGGGAGGAGGGCCTCCACGGAGCTCGACGAGGCGCGCGGCGATGATGCGGCCCACCGCGATCGCTCCTCCAGCCCAGCGAAGCCGACACAGAACCCCCAGACGTACGACGGACACCCAGGCCCGCGCTGCTCGGCGATTGCTGCCTCGCCCCCTGAGCTCGCATCCGATGGAGACGGCCAAGTGGCCGACCGCGACGAAGAACAGGAGGGCGAGAATGAGAATGAAGGGTTCCGCACAGGACCCTCTGCTGTATCATCGCTGCTTGCACTGATGATCGGATGCCGGGGCGGCAGTGGCCGAACTTGATGAAACAGACTGTCCGAAAGTGGGCGTATGTGCTGACTGCGGCACCATCGATGCCTCCAGGACTGTGCTGCAGCCGTCGCGATGCTGTCGGCGGCCGCTGCCTCGCGAGCCGCGCTGGCCGCGGGCTTGAGCACGCGGCGCATTCCATCGCCAGACGGCAGCCGAACAGCCGCGCCGCCCGCCGCAGCTCGCTCCGCGCTGGCCAAGCCGCCGCCGCTGGGCAGGCCGATGGCGTCGGTCTGCTTCGCGTTGCCGTCGCGCTTCTCGAGCCTCCTGCTGAAAGACGCCACCGACACCTGCGCGACAGCCTCGGTCACGAGGGCCGCTTGGCATGAAGCCAGAGCCCGGGCCGCCGCGAGCGGGAAAGGGAAACTGCGAGAACGCATCAGGAGGTCGGCGTCGGGCTGCGCGTCGGGCACGTCGCTGGGCGACGAGTCGAGAATGGCTTCGGACCCAGTCGCGAACTTTCTACCACGTCAACCCCCAGAGGTCTGGACCCTTCCCCCGGGACCGGCTTTTCCTCCTGAGTCGTTGTTTGACCGTCCCGAGGCCCGGGAAGGGCCCCCAGAGACCAAAAATATCGAAACACGTCCCGTCATAACGCGAGGGGGGTCTGGGCCCCTTCCTGAGAGCGCCTGGGCGCCAGCGTGCGGCCTCGGCGCGGGCACCTTCGCGCCGGGCGCCAGGGCGCCGGCGTGCGCGCGCGGGCTCCGCGGGCTAGTGGTTGGTGCGGTGCGCGCTCGTGGGCGTCGTGGCTTGTGGGGCAGGGGGCTCCGCTCCTGCCGCTGCGGAAGGAAGGGGGGAGAGCGGGAGTGGGGGGGTTCAACGCGGGAAGGGAGGAGGAGGAGGAGGAGGAGGAGGAGGAGGAGGAGGAGGAGGAGGAGGAGGAGAAGGAGGACTTGTGTAAACCCGAGAGTCATCAAAGATGTTGGAATAAACCCTCCCTCCAAGCTCCATCTTCACAGGCCCCTACACCGGTTCATTTCCATTGAGGGAGCTGCCTCGTTGGAAAACATCTGTTTGAAGACCCTGAAGCATGCCAAAACATTGTTCTCGGGATTCCAACGCCACGGATCAACCTGACTGATGCGTCTTGACGACCCTGAAAATTGCCAGAAGGCCACTCCTGGGACTTCAACACCGCGAACGAGCACAAGAATGCTGCACCGCGAAATCTTGCATCCTTCCAGAACACTTTTTTCTGGTGCGCTGATCATGGGAATCCGTGCAATTTTGGCAAAGTGTATAGAAGAATGTGCGCGGCGCTACGGCGAGAGCCACATTTTGAAAAAGGGGCCGCCATCAATCCGTGAAGCTTCTGCGGACGTTTAATGTTTAAAGCGAGTGTGCGCGGCGCTAAGGAAAGAGCCACATTTTGAAAACGACCCGCCCTCCATCTGTGAAGCTCGTGCACATGTTTAAACCGAATATGCGCGGCGCCAAGGCGGGAACCACATTTTGAAAACCATCCGCCTTCAATCCGTGAAACTCTTGCACATGTGTAAAACGAATGTGCGTGCTCAGGCGGGAGCCACATTTTGAAAACCATCCGCTCTCAATCCGTGAAACTCTGGCAAATGTTTAAAACGAATGCGCGCTGCGCTAAGGCGAGAGCCACATTTTGAAAACCACCCGCCCTCCAGAAACTGCTGCAAATGGTAAGCTTCAGAGTCATAAATGCTGAGGCGTTCTCCTCGGGCGAAACGCCCGGTCCGCCCTAAAAAAACTGGTCTCGGGGTGCGACATTGCGAAGTTATGTATAAGGAAGAGGAATGGAGGAGGAGGAGGAGGAGAAACCTCAGGAGGTCTGTAGTTTTGGGGACCCCCCCTCCCTTGTTTCTCTCGGCGGGAAAGACACTCCGCCCCCCTCCTCCTCCTCCTCTTCCTCCTCCTGCTCCTCCTCCTCCTCCTCCTACTCCTCCATCTCCCCCTCCTCCTGACCCCTCCTCCTCGTCCTCCTGCTCCTCCTCATGGTCGTTATCGTCGTCGTCGTCGTCGCCGTCGCGGTGGAGGTTATTTTCCCTCTATTGTTGGGCGGGCTGGACTATGTTGGGGGGATACTCCCATTGAACAACCCACTGTGGGCTACCTTACACGCGAGAGGAAGGGATTGCAATAGGAATCAGTTGTTGCGGTTGTAATCGTGATTGTAGTCGTGGTTGTAACGGTGATTGTAATCGTGATTGTTGTCGTGATTGCAGTTGTAATGGTAGTCGTGGTATCATCTTGGTCAGTCGCTGTCCATTCGTCTTTCTTCTTCGCCTCCGCCCCCGTCTTCCTCCTAAGCGACCTTGGATAACCTCGGGTACACAGTTTGTTAGTCGCCACCCATCCTGACTTCTGATCCGTCGTGCTTTGGACGATTTCGCAAGTAGGCCAGAGTTTTCCGCTCTACTCCCTCTGATGTCGATGTCCGCTCTACCTTGGCGTCGCTGTCTCCGCCATCCTTCTGCGGACATCTCCGCTCTTTCTCCCTGAGGCGGAAAGTTCCATCCTTTGTTTCGCACCGCTCGGGGTGCCCTTCCGACACGCTTTTCAGTCGTATAATCGACCACATTACAGCGAATCTGGAGTCAGGGCAGGTCCTCGTAGTGCCGTCGTTGCGTTTTGACCTATGGGGTAACGTCTCTCGCCCCATGCTCTGCAGGGCTCAGATCAAAAGCTTACGCCATTCCGCCGACCACCCGAAGAGGGAAGAAGTCCACAGTAAGGCTTTTGGAGGCATTTTGGAGCCCGTTTGGGAGCCTCTGGGCGGCTCTTTTGGGCCTTTTGGCGCTTCTTGCGGGGTTCGGGTTCGTCTCTCGCCCGATTCCCTGCAGGGCTCCTCTCCCCCCTTGGCCAAGCGTTGCCCTTGCCCCTCGAGCTCCTCCCCTGGAGCTCCTTGCACCCCGTAGCCAAGACGCTCGTCTCTGCGGGACTGCCGAGCCTCACTCGGGCTATTTGCCGTGGCGACCCGACAGACCCCGCCCTGACTCCAGATCAGCCCCAGAGAGTCGACGCTCCGAAAAAATTGGAGCGGCGGGTTTCTCTCGCAGTTTTCAGCCTCCGGGGGCCCTCGCCAGGCTCCGGGACCGTCAAAAAAGACTCAGGACGAAAAACCGGCACTAAGGAAGTGGTCCAGACCTCTGGGACCCACGCATCGGAAAAATTGGAGCAGCCGGATGTTTGGGGCCTTTCTGTTTTCATTCCCCGACTTAAGAATGTGTTGGAAACGAACCCCTACCAGTTGCGAAATAGTAGGGCGGAAATTTCTGCCTCGGAAGAGTAGGGTGGATATTTCAACAAAGGTACACCGCACTCACATCTATACCCCTGGGTGGATGTATGTGCGGCCGTTTTTGCGCTGTCATGTGCGCGCATGTGCGCGGCATGTGCCAGTCATGTGCCAGGCCTGTGCGGCCCTTCGTGGATGGACTTCATACTGTGCACGTCGTGCCCGGGCATGTGCGGGGGCATGTGCGCTGTGTTTTGGTGTATCCATCATCGCTCAGCTGGTCAGGTGAGCGGGGGCATGTGAGCTCAGGTGGTCAGGCCACTATCGCCTGCGACATCTCTGCGGCCTGTGCGGGCATGTGCGTCTATGCTTCCAGAGTTTTGCTTGACCGTGCATCCGACTGTGCGTCGGACGGTGTGGCATGTGCGCGCATGTGCGGCAATGCTGTTGAGGCTTCTGTATATTTGCATGGGCATGTGCATGCGACTGTGCGGCATGTGCCTGCATGTGCGGCCCCTTCCGGACCACAATTTCAAAGTGAGCAGTATAGAAGTGAGCGCTATAGAAGTGAGTCCGGTGTATGGTGGAAACGGTGACGGCAAAGTAGGGCGGGAATTGGGCGGCAATTTCCGGCCTATTTGCGACATCGCCTAAAAGTACGCCGGGACGATGGAAGAGCCACGCGCGTGATTTGGTCGGGGGAGGAGCCCAGCTCCAGTCTCTTACAGGCGCGGCCGCCGCAGCTGGCAATGCAGGCGCAGCTGGCGGTGGTGCTGGAGGCTGCTGGCTCCGCCGTCTCCTCTTCCTCCTCCGGCTCCTCCTGCTCGCAGCTGCTGATGCAGCTGTTCAGGCAGGACCTACTCCTCCTATGCATTATTCTTCTTCTTCTTCTTCTTCCGACATTGTTTGGCCCGTGCTGTTTGTTTAGGGGAATGCCAGTAGCCCCAGCAGCAGTTGCAGAAGCGGTAGCAGTTGAGGTCAGTTGGCCTGGACTCCTCGGGGCACGCCCCAACTCCTCCTGCTCCTTGTGCCGCGCGAAAACACCGCATCCGGAAATTCCCCCTTCCTTCCTCCGCCAAGTGCGCAGATTTCCTGATGCACGACCTGCGGGCTCGTGCGGGCCCGCTCGCGCGGGACCCTTCCGTCGCGCGGGGCGTGCATAGGGTATTTGCTTGTTTTCCCCCGCTAATGAGGCGGCTGTGCCTCGTCGCGGCTGGGCCGTGGCTGGGCGACGGCCACCTCGTTTGGGGGGGTCGACCTGTGCTGGTGGCTGCAGGACCGTTTCATCGGGGATCCTGAGCCCCCACCTCTTCCTTGCCTACACACCCATTTGTCCTTGAAGATTGGTGCGTTTAACTTGGCCGGCCGGGCCTTCCAGGCGTGGCATTTTTCTTGTTTCGGTCTTCCCCCTCCCTCCCTTTCGTCCTCCTTCTCATCGCCCTGGCCGTGTCTCACGATTTTTTCCGAACCCTCCATGGTTGGGTATTCGTTTAGAATAGAGCATTGCGGTCTCCAGTTCTCCTCCTCCTCCTCCTCCTCATCATCATCATCATCCCGCCTCCCATCTCCCGCTTCCGTCTGGTCTCCTCTTGCCTAGCGCGTACCTCGTGTGTGTGTGTGTGTGCATCCTGGCTACGGTACCTCTTGTGTGTGCATCCTGCCAAGAGGCTGCGATCTGTGACACTGTCGCCACTTTCAAGGGCTGCTGGTGGGTCAAGCGGAGTGAGGTACCGCGGGGACCTGAGCGAGACCTCGCCGTCCCCGGGGGGGCTGCGATCTGCGACGCTGTCGCCACTTTCGAGGGCTGCTGGTGGGTCCAGCGGAGTGAGGCACCGCGGGGACCTGAGCGAGACCTCGCCGTCCCCGGGGGGGCTGCGATCTGCGACGCTGTCGCCACTTTCGAGGGCTGCTGGTGGGTCCAGCGGAGTGAGGCACCGCGGGGACCTGAGCGAGACCTCGCCGTCCCTGGGGGGCTGCGATCTGCGACACGGTCGCTACTTTCGAGGGCTGTTGTCCCCGGTATACTCTTGCACAACAGACCACAATTCAGACCCCCCTCACCTCCCAACAAAGAACCCAGGAAGCTTTGGAGGGCCCCAAATCGTTGAATACCTAAAGAGGATCAATGATTTCTGCGTTGCCGCGTTTCCCCGTCTATACGATTCCGAGGCTTGCGCAAGGCCTCCAAGGGAGCCTTTGGACGCAAGACGCGACCAAAATTAGATGACATGAATTTGCCTGTCAAGCGTAGCTAGAACTTGAGCGCGCGCGAAGCGCGCGCGATGTTTCTAGTATATGTAGTGGGTTGGAACCCTCACAGGTTTCGTGTACCCAAGTCGTTTTCTGATTATTTTTGATTGCTCGGCTTTCTTATTGTTTTTGATTGTATGTATTTGCTCTTATTGTTTTGTATTGTATGGAATTCTGATTGTTTTTGATTGTATGTATTGCTTCTTGTTTTTGATTGGATGGATGTATGTTTGTTTTTGACTGTGTGCGTTTCTTGTTGTGTTTAATTGTATGGATTTCTTTATTGCGTTTTGATTGTGTGGTGTTGTTATGGTTTGACTGTTCATTTCTGATTGCTTTTGGTTATACGTATGATGCTGATTGTGGCGATGATGAGGAGGGATGATGATGACGACGATGCAGAGGGGGAGGAGGGGAGTGAGGATGTTGATGGTGATGTTGATGATGAGGATGGAGGAACGGAGAGAGAAAGGGAGAAAGAAAACAAGAAACACACACACAAACCACCTACACAAATAATCCACCCCCACGGACTCCTCCCTCTCTGGCGCCAAGAGCCTATGGGACATTGTCCCACAGGTGTCCACCCCCTGGGGCCCGTGGGACCTGCTGGACATGAAGAGCCCTTGGGACCTATGGAACTTGTGGGACCTGTGGGACCTCTGGGCCCTGTGGGACCCTTGGAACTTGTGGGAACTGTGGTACCTGTGGTACCTGTGGTACCTGTGGAACCTGTGGTACAGCCACGGTGCCGACGCCGAAGGGACAGTGTCCTTTCGGCTCCCAGCGGTACCGTGGGGGCGGCCGCCTGGGGGGCCGCGTCCCGCAGGTTCGTGGCGCCAGGGAGGGAGTATTCCATGGTAGTGGAGGTGCCGCTTCCAGGGTACCGCCACGGCACCACCACGGTGGCCGCCACGTACCATCACGACCTGCAGGTCTGGATCTGGACCCTGTGCTCCGGGGCCGGCCAATGGACAGTGTTCCATGGGCTCGCGGCGCCAGGTCCGCAGTGTTGGTGCCGCCACGGTGCCACCAAGGTACTGCCACAGCCCGCCAGGTCTGGATCTAGACCTGCGGGGGGGCCGACAGGTACCAGGGGCTCCGGGCCAGCCAATGGGACAGTGTCCCACAGGTTCGCGGAACCAGGTCCACGGTCCCGTGGGGGCGGACACTTGCGGGACAGTGCCTCATAGGCTCCTGGCGCCAGGGAGGGAGGAGTCCGTGGTACTGGAGGTACCCCTTCCGCGGTGCTGCCAGGGTACCAGTACAGTACCGGCCACGGTGCTACCCTCACTGCCACACTGCCGCCACGCCCAGGTCCCATAGGCATGTGGGACCTGTAGGATCGCCACGGCACGGCCACAGTACCGACGCCTATGGGACAGTGTCCCATGGGCTCCCAGCGGTGCCGGGGGGGCGGCCGCCCGGGGGACAGCGTCCCGCAGGTTCGTGGCACCAGGGAGGATTCCATGGTAGTGGTAGTGGAGGAGCCGCTTCCAGGGTACCGCCACGGCTCCCACGGGCACCGCAGGCCCCACAGGTCCCATAGGCCCAACAGGACCCACAGGTCTCGCAGGTCTCGCATACCCGGTAGGTCCCGCAAGCCCCACAGGTCCCACAAGTTCACCTTTGCTGCTATTGGGCTGCTTTGCTGGGGTAGTTTTTGAAGGACTTGGCGCGCCTATAACTGGTTGCGCTGCGAGTAGTGCAGAATGGGCCACGAGCGCAAGTTCGAATCGCTGTTCCGTAAATTTAGAATTCCACCCGTCTGGAATTCTTTCCATGCGCTTGCGGAGGCGGTGGTTTCCATCGTGGTCCTGCTCCTCCGCCTCCCAATCATCTTCAACGTTTACGAGGTCGACCGGTGCAGGATCACTCTTTGGGATCACAACGGGTGGGTCGCCCGTTTTTCGCATGGAAGGATCCAGCGGTCCCAAGGTTGCAAACGATTCGTCCGTAGCCATTTTGGCTCAAGCCATTTTGGCTCAAGCCATTCTGACTCATGCTGCTTGGTTCGTCGCTGGCTCGAGGGGCACGAGCACACGACTTGGGGTAATAAATACGTTTGCGCCGCGAACCTCGGAGTGCATTTAATGTTTTGTCGGCAGTTTGTTGGCAGCCAACGTTGGGGAGCCACGCAGTTTGGGAAGTCGCTCCACGTCACTGGTGGTTGCGTGCACCCTCGAGAGCGAGTATATTTGATCTCAGCACCTACACTTAGTATGTACGAGAAGCCAGCGGAAAGACAACATGCATTCGATACTGCTGGGTTGTTGAAGCTCTCTCCGAGTGCACGAGGGCGCGCTTTGCAAACAGCTACTAGGCAGATCCTGGCTGACATGTACCCTCATGCTGTCTTTGAGGATGCTGTTCCAGGATTGTGTGCGAATGGAGTGCCACGCTCACAGCACATGGCCGAATATGACTGGTTAATGGATGGACGGCGAGTCGAGTGTAAGAGTTCAATATTGACGTGGGTTCCTTCAGCCAAAACGTGGAGTCTTTCTTTTTACGGAATCAAAGCTGCGCGCAAGGGCGTGCGTGCTCAAAGCGCGTTTGATGAGTTGATCCTCTCTTTCTGCAGTCCGCGCCGTCTTTACATTTACAGACACGATAGCGTTTACTCTTGCAGCAAGGATGGTAATTATACATTCTGGAGGGGACAAGTAATCCGGCTTCGCGGACCCAGGAATGAGATAGATTGGCAGCCCGCAATTCAGACTATTATCGCAAAGCTTGATAGTAGTCGAAATGGATGCGAACACATTGCTGATGTGCCTTTATTGGACGATCGGATTTCAGAGGCAGTCAGTCAGGCGTCAGGTTTGAAGCATGTTGCTTATGCAGATGTACCGTTATCCAACCTGTGTCCAACTACCCGTGCGCTCCGTATTCTAGCGATGGCACGGGAAGTAGACGCGATGTTGCACCCGAAGGCTTCTTTCATGGACCCAGAGCCTTCTCGCTGCAGTGATGGGCGCACTCGCGGGCGTGGGCTAGGTCAGCAAACGTACGATTGGATGCGCGATGGTTTGCGTATTGAGTGCCGGTCATCTGGGTTGACGTGGGACACAGCGAACCAGCGTTGGTATGCTCGCTTTATTGGCATACAGTTTGATCGGCTCGACGAGCTCAATCTGGCAATTTGGTCTCCTGCTGGAATATCCTTATTCCGACACAATCTCAATTTTGGAGTTTCTTCACACGGATTGTGGTCAGAATGGATTGGGCCTTGCATAAATATCGTGGCTCCTCGCAGCGATACTGACTGCTTGGTTGCTCTGGGCTCCATTTCACAGAAGCTGGAGGATGCAGGGTGTGCTCTCGTCGCCCACATCCGCTGGACGTAAGTGACAAGGGGTCGGGTCACTTACATGGGCTCTAATAGTGGAACATCAGCATCGGCTGAGATCTTGCACAACTCAGCCCGAACATCCGGGCAGATGTGCCCCCGAATGTGTTGAGTGCGAAAAAAAAAAAAGGTTGCAAACGATTCGACCAGTAAACATATCCTGGCATTCGAAAGCCATGAGCGGACGGCCTCATAGCCTCTGAGCTTGTGTGTTCAGTTTCGGGTCCACTCAACCGCTCTGGGAAGGGTTTCATCATCATCATTATCATCAGCAGCATCAGCAGCAAGAGCATCAGCATCAGCATCAGCATCATCATCATCACTAACAACAGCATCAGCAGCATCATCATCATCACCTTCATTACCTTCATCATCATCAGCATAATTATCTCAGCAGCATCAGCATCAGCATCAGCATCGTCATCATCATCAAAATCATCAGCATAATCATGATCAACAACATCATCATCATCAGCATCATCATCATCATCATCACCATCGTCATCATCACCATCACAATCACGAACAACATCATCAGCATCAGCGTCACCATCATCGTCATCATCATCATCATCATCATCATCATCGTCGTCGTCATCATCGTCGTCATCCTACAGGTATTCGGAGTGTTTCTTCTTTTATTGCGGGCAGGCATCAGCGTGGTGAATTTGGTGCCCCGACCAGGAGAATGGAATTCATGGTTCGCCTGTAAGTCCTCAGGTCACTCCTGTGCTGAAGGCCCTCACGCAGGCTATTAGCAGCCAGTAGCAGGATACATATCGACTTCAAGATGTTGCTCCCCAGCATTGAGCTCTTCAGCATAGTTTGCCGCTCTTAGTGATCCTTGTGATACGCCTCAGCAAAAGATGTTGGTCCTTCTCGGAATGGACCCCGCGATAACGAGATCGACGACGGTGACGATCTGGTTGCGTACATCCTCAAATCGCGTGCGACGGGGGTAAGCTCGACAAAATCTTCGGCATCGATTGCCCGCTAACTTGAGTTCTGGGCTATTTCTCCTCCTCTTCGGTATTCTCTCGGCTTGCACGCATTGGCGCCTCAGGGAGCGGATCCTCCTTTCTTCTGCTGGTTTGGGAGGCTTGGGGTTGCAGTGCTAAGCAGACGACTGAAGTGGCGGTAAGCCTGCCTCTGTTTTAGCCCACGACCGTTGCGATTTGAGCAGTGTTTGTCGACGTTGCCCCTGCCGGCTGCCGTTGCGCCCCAGCTGTCCGGCGGCCTTGGCGGCCTTGGCGGCCCCGCAGACGTCGACCCTGGTGGCACGGTGCGCACCCGCGAGATCCATTACGCGCCAGCCGCAGCACCTCCGCCGAAGGTCCTTCCTCCCAGGGACGCCTCCCCGAAGGCATCTTGCTCGCCGCTGTCGGTCCCAGCCCCACCATACATGCGCCCGAGCTCGAGCGGCGACACGAGCGGGGCTGCGCCCGTCGGTGTGCCGACCGCCGCAGAGCCGTTCACGCCGGCGGCGCCCGGAAGTTCCGCCCCGCAGCGCCCGAGCCGCGCCCCCGCTGGGCGCCGCAGCCCGCGCAGGCAGCCCCAGCGGCCGGCCCCCACTGCGCAGCCATGGCGACGGCCCGATCATTGGCCGGCCACCTGGCTGTGCACGCCTGGAGGTGGCGACTCCTTCGAGGCGGAGCTGGGCCCTGTCGAGCGGCTCCCGCGGCTCAGGGACGTGGTCCTGGTGCGCTCGCCGAGGGCGCCGGCGCCCGACTGCGCATGGCGACCCGATCCGCGACCTCGGCTGGGTCCCCAGCCACGCCGCTCTCTACGCGCAGGCGTGCCATCGCGAGGCCATGCGCCCGCGCGCCGGGCGCCGCCGCCCGCGCCCGATCGATTCGGGTTCCCAGTGCGATGCCAGCGCTGCCCCGCGTGCCTCTGGCGCTTGTGCCAAGCAGCTGACCCCGACGGGCGCGGCGAGGTCTGTCCACGCCCTACCTCCGCGCGGGCACCTGCCGCGTCAGTGACCGCAGCCCACGTTGGTAGGGCAGCGCGCAGTGGCGCGCAGTCTAGTCGCCAGGGGCCGACGTCGGGGCGCAGCGGGTCGATCCCCGCGGACGCACTGCCCAACCTGCACTTCACTGTTTGGCTCTGTTGGTGGGCGCTCGATGGTGGTTGAACGTTTTCGACATGCGCGCGCAAGTGGCCCGCACGGTTTCATCTGGCAGAACGGTTCTGCCCCCGTGTGCCCTCTTAAGACGTCAGCGGGTGCTCGCGCGCAGAACTCAGGCAACTTTTGTGAAGCACGTCATGCTCATACATGTGTACATATGCATACACATACTCATATGATACCGGAGAAAAGCCCCAATCCAAGTTTTTGTTTGGGCTATACGTACGCAGGACGAAAGTTTTCCTCTTGAGGTGAAAATGGCCATGAGGAGTTCGCGAGACAACGTCGGCGCCGCCGAACGGACGGCGATCGCACGAGCTGTGTGCAGCAACCGGGGGGAGAGGGATGTATGTACTCATGTTGAATGGGGCCCGCTCGCGCGGGGAGTTGATGGGAGTGCGCGAGACGACGCAGGGCCCATCGTGGAAAGTTGATTACGACCCCCCCTCCCCCATAGAATCTTGACACGGGCGGTTTGCGGGGTCCGCGGATCCGATTTCTTCTGGTCCCCTGTTTTATTTGAATAGTAACATACATTTAGAACAGGGTAGAAATCGGATCCGCCGTGCAAAATAAGACTGGACACGGATCCGGGAAAATCCGAAATCGGACCCGCGCGGACTGAAACCGGATCCACCGAAACAAACACCCAAACCACATTTGAATCCGCGCGAATTTCATGGGATCCGACGGCGGTTATCTCATACGGTTCTGCTCAAGACTTCACATTGTCGTTCCGGGCCTCAGAGGAAAACATTTTCGTCCTGGGGATGGGCGTGTTGGCCTTGGGACCCGTGGGTTACCATATAGCCGACACACCACATCTCACAGGCAATCCGTTGGGTGAAGAGACGCAGGGCCGAAACGCACTGGGCGTTTTGGCCTTCGGGCTTTTTGATTGCCACATCGCCGACACACCGCATCTCACAGGCAGTCCACTGTTGGTAACCACACAGCCGACACACCACGTCTCACAGGCAGTCCGTTGGGTCAGGAGACGCAGGGCCGAAGGGCGTTTTGGCCTTCGGACTTTTTGGTTACCATATAGCCGACACACCACATCTCACAGGCAGTCCGTTGTTGGTAACAACATAGCCGACGCACCACATCTCACAGGCAGTCCGTTGGGTGAGGATACGCAGGGCCTAAGCGCACTGGGCGTTTTGGCCTTCGGACTTCTTGGTTACCACATCGCCGACACACCGCATCTCACAGGCAGTCCTTCGTTGGTAACCACACAGCCGACACACCACGTCTCACAGGCAGTCCGTTGGGTCATGAAACGCAGGGCCGAAGGGCGTTCTGGCCTTCGGACTCGTTGGTTACCATACAGCCGACACACCACATCCCACACGCAGTCCGTTGTTGGTAACAACATAGCCGACACACCACATATCACAGGCAGTCCGTTGGGTGAGGATACGCAGGGCCGAAGCGCACTGGGCGTTTTGGCCTTCGGACTTCTTGGTTACCACATAGCCGACACACCACATCTCACAGGCAGTCCGTTGTTGGTAACCACACAGCCGGCACACCACGTCTCACAGGCAGTCCGTTGGGTCAGGAAACGCAGGGCCGAGACGCATCTACGCAGGACGAAAGTTTTCCTCTTGAGGTGAAAATGGCCATGAGGAGTTCGCGAGACAGCGTTGGCGCTGCCGAACGGACGGCGACCGCACGAGCTGTGTGCAGCAACCGGGGGGAGAGGGATGTACGTATTCATGTTGAATGGGGCCTGCTCGCGCGGGGAGTTGATGGGAGTGCGCGAGACGACGCAGGGCCCATCGTGGAAAGTTGATTACCGACCCCCCCTCCCCCGTAGAATCTTAACTCGGGCGGTTTGCGGGTTCCGCGGATCCGATTTCTTCTGGTCCCCTGTTTTATTTGAATAGTTAAATACATTTAAACAGGGTAGAAATCGGATCCGCCGTGCAAAATGAGACCAGACACGGATCCGGGAAAATCCGAAATCGGACCCGCGCGGATTGAAATCGGATTCACCGAACCAAACACCGAAACCACATTTGGATCCGGGCGAAGTTCATTGGATCCGACGGCGGTTATCTCATACGGGTCTGCTCAAGACTTCACACCGTCGTTCCGGGCCCAAGAGGAAAACACTTTCGCCCTGGGGATGTTGGGCTATAGGGCGATGGGGCTATGGGGCCATAGGTTATGGAACTATAGGGTTATAGGGCCATTGGGCTATAGGTGTATAGGGCTATAGGGCTAGAAAGTTTTAGGGCTATTGGGCTATAGGGCTACAGGGCTATAGGGCGGTACTTCGGCTCATGGGGTTACAAGGTTTGAGTGCTATAGGGCTGTTGGGCTATAGGGCTGTAGGGCTATTGAGCTATTGGGCTATAGGGCTGCAAGGCTATAGGGCTACAGGGCTATAGGGCTACAGGGCTAGAAGGCACCCGGGCACCCAGGCACCCGGGCACTTGGGCACCCGGGCACATGGGCACCCGTGCACCCGGGCACCCGGGGGGGCCGCGGAAATCGGTGGCAAACCTCACCTAACCATGTGAATCCGCTAGGACCCCTACAGAGGCAAGCTCTGATTGGGGAATATATTGTTATTGACTCGCTACGTCTTGAAATGGCTGAACAACCAATGCCCGTGGCTGTTGAGTGATTTTGACGCGTGTGCGGCGGCGCGCGCATGCGCCCCGGCAGTGCATCGTCCCAAGGGGTTATCAGCAAACATATTTGTTTGATCAATGCATGTGCACCGCGTTTTGTTCTTTGACCGGGATGACGGGGGGTTCGATACCGGGATGACTTGAGATGGTTCTGATTGTCTTTCGAGAAAAATCGATGAGGCATAACCGTTCGTGACATTCAGCACGACAGCGCGAGCGGATAAGCCTGGCCTCGAAGAGGTGGTGGAGTCTAGCATCTTGTTAGAGCGACTAACACATGCATTGCAACCTGCGTGGTGCACTCCATGCATGTGTGCATCTCGAGACGCCAGCAAGCGCACGACATGAGGCGTCCACGAGGAGCCCGCGGGGTGGGCACCCGGCGGGAGGCCAGAGCCAGCATCCAACACACAGGGCGCCCACGACGCGCCCACAGTCGGGCACCAGGCGAAACGCCTGCAGCCAGCAGCCAACGCAGGAGGCGCCCACGGGCGGACGCCACGCGAACACCCCGACCGACAGCCCATTATTTTGTAATCGAGGTACGCGCCCCTATCGCAAGCACCGTCTGGGAAAGACGGCCCATCGCTCGCTCGCGCCGGTCCTCCTCCCACTCCTTCTCCTTTCTCCTCCTCCTTTGTCCTCCTCCTCCTTTTTTCTTCCCTTTCTCCATTCCTTTTCCTCATGAATAACTCCTCCCTGTCGCACCCCGAGGCCAGTCGAAAGGGCGGCCCGGGCGTTTCGCCTGAGATTTCCTCACCATTTCCGATCCTTTCGCCTGAGACTTCCTTACAGTTTCGCACGTGGAGGGCGGATGGTTTTCAAAATGTGGTTCTCGCCTTGACGCCGCGCGCACTCGTGTTTAAATGTTGCAAGAGCTTCACGGGTTGAGGGTGGGTGGTTTTTATAATGTAGGTCTCGCTTTAGCGCCGCGCATACTCGCCTTTATTTTTTACAAGGATTGAGGGCGGTTCCGTTTCAACATGTGGTTATCGCTTTAGCGCGTCGCACATTCGTTTCAGACAGTTGCAAGAGCTTCACGGCTTGAGGGCGGCTCCTTTTCAAAATGCGGTTCTCGCCGTAGCGCCCCGCACATTCGTTTTAGACATTTGCCAGAGTTTCACGGGCTCCCATGGCCAACGTATCAGAAATCATGTTTCGGAATGAATCGGGATTGTTAGGGCGCAACAGATACGATTATTCGCGGTGATGAAGTCACAGGAATGGTGTTCAGGCACGGTTCAAGATCGCTAAGGCGCAACAGTCAGGTTAATTCGTGGCGGTGGAGTCCCGAGAATGGTGCTGTGGCACGCTTCAGGATCTTCAAACGGTTGTCTCCCAACGGGGCACTTCCCTCAGTGGGAATGAGTTTTTGCTGGTGAAAAAGGGAGCTTGGACGGATGGTCGATTACAACATCCTTGATGAGTCTTGGGGTTACACTGGTCTCCCCATCCTCCTCCCCACGATGATCACCACTGGCCTTCTCCTGCACATCCTCTTCTCCTGCTGCTACTCACGCCCTTTTCCACAGACCCCCGACGTCGTGATTTTTTCGCAACATCGACCCCCAGAGGTCTGGACCGCTTCCCCGCAACGGGTTTTTCATCCCGAGTCGGTTTTTGAAGGCCCCGAAGCCCGGGGAGGGGCCTTGGAGGCCGAAAATGACAAAAAGCCTCGCGTCGGGTTTTTTTCTCAGCGCGAGGGGGTCTGGGTCCCCCTGTTGCTCCCGCCCCTCCGCCCCCACTCCCGCCGAGGCGGCGTCACCCTGGAGCAGGCCGTGGCGGCGGCGGCGGCCTCCGCCTGCGCGGCGGCGCCCCCGAGCTGCAGCACCAGGATGCAGCTCTAGGTGCGCAGCCCGGCGCCGCGGCCCTCCGAAGGGGCACCCCGGGCCGGCACCCGAGGTTTCTGTCCTCCATCCTCCCTCCTCCACCCTCCTCCTCCTCCTCCTCCTCCTCCTCCTCCTCCTCCTCCTCCTCCTCGCTCCTCGCTCCTCGCTCCTCTTCCTCGCTCCTCGCTCCTCGCTCCTCGCTTCTCGCTCCTCGCTTCTCGCTCCTCGCTCTTCCTCCTCCTCCTCCTCCTCCTTCGCCTTCTCCTCCTCCTCCTCCTCCTCCTCCTCCTCCTCCTCCTCCTCCTCCTCCCTTTTCCTCCCTCCTCCTCCTCCTCCTTCTCGCTCCTCCTTCTCCTCCTCCTCATCCTCCTCCTTCGCCTCCCCGCCTCCCCCTCCTCCTCCTTCGCCTTCTCCTCCTCCTCCTCCTCCTCCTCCCCTTCCTCTTTCTCCTCTACAGCGTGCAGCCCGCAACTGAAACCTGCTTCTACCGTCGGGCCGAGGTGTCAGGTCGAGGTCGGTTCGGGGAGGGTCTCATAATGTTCTTCGTGCCAGTTGGATGTTCTTGTGCGGAGGGAGAGAGGGAGGAAGAGGAGGAGCAGGAGCAGGAGGAGGAGGTGGAGGAGGAGGAGGAGGAGGACGAGGAGGCCACCGGAGGCCGAAAGCGGCCAAGAACCCGTCGCCCCAATTTTGCCTGAGCGCCGCACGGCGCGGGGAGCACGAGGTCCCCCCCCCGACCCGAGAGAGCAGCGAGCCCGCCGCCCGCGAGGAGGCGGCCCGGGAGGGCGGAGGAGGAGGAGGGCGAGGGAGGAGGATGGGAGGAGGAGGGAGAATGGAGGAGGAAGAAATGGAGGAGGAGGAGGAGGAGAAAGGAGAATGGAGAATGGAGGAGGAGGAGGAGGAGGAGGAGGGAGAAGGAAGGAGGTGACCCCCACATTTTGAGCTGACGCAGCGGATGCAGTCAACAGTGCGGTGCCAGGGGTTTCCCATGATCCTGCCACCTGGCCTCTACCTGACTCCTCTGCTGTTTGGTGTTATTTTGAGAGAGGACCGACCATCCTGGAACTACTTACCTCCGCGGCCCCCGGGTGCGTGGGCGGCCCCGTTTTTAGATTCCTTCCTGACCCCGCGTGGGCGGGGGGTCTACACAGCACCGACGTGGAGTTTGCCGCCGTCGCGTGGAGGTCTTCTGTCAATCTTGGTCGACAGCCAGCGCGCGCCGACCTCGATCTATGCGGACTCCAAGAACGTGTGCGACTACATCTACGGCCGCGCTACGGTCTCGGATAATATTAAGATCGCACGCGTGTTGGTTATCATGTTTGATCTAGCGATGGCAGCTGCCAAGTCTCGGTGGCCCAAGTGCTCCACATAGAAGGGCACGAGGGCCATCCTTGGAACTCCCTTGCGGATCACCTGGCACATCTGGTGGGCACTGAGCAGTGGGGACCCTGTTTTGTTCCCCCGTTGTGGGCCGAAGCGACCAGGCGCAGTGCTGGGAGAGAGTGGGGGTGGCTCGGTCGGCCGGCCCTTGGACTCGCTGAGGCTTGGGAGGATGGCTTTTGGGCCCCCCCTATTGCCTCGGAAGCCTCGGATGATTTGGGGCGCCGGCCCCCCTCAGGACCTCCAAGAGGACTCGCGCGTTGCGTCTTCGGGTCGCCACGCTTAATGCAAACAGCGCTGCAGTTGCAAAGCGCAGGGGCCGTGAGGGCAAGATCCGTTTCGCACGCAATCTAGCCATCAAGTCCCAATTTGACTCCGATGGGGCGCACTTAGCACTTAGCAGGGGTGCAAGAGGCTAGAAACCCCCGAGGGCCTTACGTGTCAGGAGCATATTATGTGGTATCGTCTGGTCACAAAGACCATGAGCTGGGGTGTGAGCTATGGGCCAAAGCCAGAATTCCTTACGGCACGTGTCGAGGTAAGCCCTGATTCTCTGAGGAGAGGCATTTTCGTGTCATCTCCGCCGGTCCACGTTGGCCCTTGGCGGCTGTCAATGCTCCTGGGCTCGTGTGCCATGTCTTGGTGGGGCATGCACCGCAGTCGGGCGACTCAGCTATTGCTCGAGCGGCCTTCTGGGACTCAGTTCAGGGGATACATGAGAAGTGGGGCACTGACCTGGCCATGCTTGACGCCAATGGCAGGGTGGGTCACATTCCTTATATTGCTGCGGGGCCTGCGGGGTTTGCTCATGACCAGGACGATAGGGGGAGACCTCTTGCACGCCTTCCTGCTCGCATCCGAGCATAAGGCCCTGAACGCATGGCTGGCGCAGCCAGACGACTGGACGCGGCAGTCGCAACAGGGACTTCGTCATAGGATCGGCTATGTTTGTGCGAGAAATTGGTTTTCTAACCGCGCCCTTTCATCCGACGCGCTGCAGGATACTGATAAGCTGACGACGCACATTGATCACATTGCAGTCACGGTTGCCTCTGAGTGGCAAGCTGCGCAGGTCCGCCAGATCCCCGCCGCTAAGAAGCTTGATCGGGAGGCCTTCCAGGACCCCTTGAAGGTTGATCTCTTTCGGCGGGTTGCCCGCGGCGTCTTGGGAGGTCCCCGGCTCTGCGCGCCACGTGGGCGTATCCAGTGGAGCCATGGATGCGGCTGTCAAGGATTCCGGAGTTCCACCTCGGAGGCCCAGGCAGCCTTATGTTTCTGAAGGGGCTGATGGGGCCCCTGGATCACATCGCGTCCAGAAGGGGGGTCACCAGGACGATCGTTGGTTGATCCCTTCCTTGAACATTGGCCAAGACTTCCCACGTGAAGTCTCAGCCCACTGTAGAGGGCACTGTGTAGGAGGCGACATCATGGGCTTTGCTGCCAAGCGGGGTGCTGCTAGCTTGTGGCAGCTCTGCGGCCTTGGGACTCGGGGGTCTTGTGTGATTTTGGTTGTGCCCTGGGACTTCAGCAGTTCGGAGGTAGACCGCCCAAGATACCGACCACCTCCCCTTACTCCACCGCTGGCGACGGCACGGCTCTTTGCGCAGAGTCGGGCGCTGCAAACAATGCGCAGCAGCATCTCGCCCTGGTCGAGCAAGGCAAATCAGCCGATGCTCAAGGGGTTCAGGAACATTCGAGCTCTATGCTTCCTCTCGTGTCCGATGACGCACCCAGAGAGCTTGATTTTTTGGTGTTCAAGGTTCGGCTAGTTTCCTCGATGAATGGGGGGTCCAGAGAGGTCGACAGCCGGTGCCTGACGGTTTCTTTTAGACCTCTTAAAGTTGGCGCCGATGGAGCTCGCGGAGGTTTTGCACCCCCTTCTGACGAAGGCCACCGTAACCTCGAGGGAACCACTCGCTGTCAAGGATGGGCGCGTGGGGTCGTTTTACATAGGTAAAAGGTTGATAGCCTTGGTTGCTAATGAGAGGAGAATTCTGAAGACGAGTACTGTGCAGGGTCCATCATCTTCACTTGCGCGGGATATCGCTCGGTTACCTCTATGCCGCGTTGCCCATCCAGGCAGAGCGGGGGCCTTCCTGGGAGATCGTGCGACGTGGCTGCGCACTTTGTTGAATCCGACTGGGCTGCCGCCGAAGCGCGGTCGCTTTCCTCGGAGTCTCTCTGCTTGCATCTCATGGCGGCCTTTAACTCCACATTGAGGCAGTTAGTGCGTGATCTCCCTGGCGAGGAGGCCATGTTCGATGAAGCCCTGAGAGAGCTCCCTCTACCTCCCATTCTGGTCGCGGGCTCGCGCGCCCAGTTGGTTTCGGCGCCCATCTTCGAGCAGAGCATTCAGCGCCCACGCCCTGGTGCCTTGCCCAGGGGAGCTCAGCGAGGGGCCTTCTGGGCGGTGAGGGGAGCCAATGATTATGTGATTCCACGCGCAGGGGGTAGACCAGACGCTGCAATGGCAACGGACGCATTCAACGTCGCCTTTGCGAGCGCCCAGGCAGATATTGAAGCAAGCATGGGTATCAGAGGATTTCGTTGGACACTATGTCAACGCCAAGGTTTTTCCCATTGCACATGGCGACAGAAAGGTATTGGCAGCCTCTCGTCTGTCGACGATAAAACCTTCTCGGTGGCTGCCCGGGATCCAATTGCACATCTCCAAATGTTTTGTGAGTTGCTTGACATTTTTCGTTGTTTGCCCTCGTTATGGTCTCACCCCCAATCCCGCGGCAACTGAGATCACGGTTCGCGTCTGTGGCCCTGGGCCCCAAGGTGCGCGCAGGTCATTGTTCGACCGACGTTCCGATGCTGGAGTCACCGCAACGGAAGATCAAGGTTGCAGCGGTCAGATCTCGCAATTGTTTAGGTATCATTCTAACAGACACTGGATCCGAAGGCGTGGAGATTTCTGCTGGCCCCCTGGCCGCTCGCGCGGCTGCGAGGCCGCTGAAGGCCGCGGTTGCCCCCGAGGCCCGCCTCTCGCTCAAGGCCAGGCTTCTTTATGCCGAGGCCTTCGGATCTAGTAGGTGCGCGCGCGGTTCCTGTCTCCGGGGATTTGCACGCGCAGTCCGAGCGGTTCCTGTCCTCGGGCGGTGCAATCCAGAATGCGACGCTGCCATGAGTTTCTCCGCCGTTTTGCTCTCAGTATTCCGGCCAGCAATTCCTCGGAGCATCGCCGCTCCTACTGAGGCAGTCTGGCCATGGCGGATAGGCGCCCGTGGGAGGCAGTCGCTCGCGTCTCGAGGCTCAGGTTTTGAGCTCGGATGTTTAAGTTGGCCTCCAAGTGTTTGCTCTCTCTCCTTCATGTGGTTCTCATGCGTCGGCGCAGTTGGGCCGTCGCTCCCACCGAGCGCTTTGATTGGTTTGCTCCTTTCGTGGATCCTGGGGTCGCGCCTGGGAATGGCGGGCTGGATGGCTGGCTGGCAGCAGCAGCAGCGCAGACAGACCCTGAACGGTTTAGGGCCTCCAGTAAGACCGTCATTCAGAGAGCCCGAGAGTGGCGGAGTGACCGGCGCCCGCTTCGCATCTGGGACGTCAGAGCGCGGATGGGGGCAGAGGGCGCCCCCGTGAGCACAGGCGCGAGCGACGAGGTAACCGAGTTCATGCGCTACGAATGCGGACAGGTCTTCCGCGCCCCGCGCGCACTGCGAGCTCGCAAGGGCGAGCGGCACCCTTGAGATTCATCGCCCGTTTTGATGGCAGTGGGGACGTGTTGCCAGATATGCGGGTGTGATTATCGGTCAAAAGGGAGGTTATATAAGCATCTTGCTCGCGCTAAGCCTCGTTACCGTGGTTTAGTAGCCCTGGGTGCTCGCCCATCTGAGGAGGAAGTCCCGGGGGCTCGGGGGTCTCGACGGCTCTAGAAGCAGGCCAATCGAGCCAGAGGTTTCACCGATGATTTCGCATACCTGCCGAGAGTAAAAATGAGTTGGGCCTGTCAGGGGCGCCCGGGTGCCGGGCGAAGAGCCGGCGTCTGTGGCTGCGCCCGTATTTCTCCCGCCCCCATCACCTAGCGCCCCCCCCCCTTTCCGCGGACCCCCCCCCCCCCCGTGCTCGTCCGAGCTGTTTCTTGGCGCGCCCGTTCTCTGGGCAGCGGAGGGCTCGTGATATCCAGAACTGGT